ATATCGTACTGTGACCCCTCTGTCATGATATGTATCGTATCGCCAAATTCTTGCCAATACACAGCCCTAGTCATAGATCATCCTTTAAGTGTCTCATGCATCATATTTAAAACAAAATCTAACATCTAACCAGGCTGCAAAACATCTTCCTTTTAGGGACCGTTGGTCCTACAGTACATTGGTGGACCTCATAGGTCCTCAAACTGCATGTTCTATGTTTCTCTGTGTAAATACACCTGGTTTAAATAAATGGCTGATCAACAGGTTTCTGCAGGACGAAGAGCTAATTCAAACACTGGGTCAGGTTTGTTGGAGCAGGGAAAGCCCTGATCAGACGTGCCTCCTCCCAATGTTCAACWACTAAAACAATGAAGGACTCTGTAGGTTTGTTTTTAAAGAGTACAAAAGGTTTACTTCAGCCAGGAATCAGTCTGCTTTGTGCTGGTGTCCTGCAGGTGCACGTTTGAACCACTTACAATCGTTTGCATCACTGCAGAGTAAGAACCCAGACAGCTCTTATTCTGAAGGAGCAAGGAACGGCAAATAAATGCAGCTACGACATCAAATAAGGACTGAAGTGGTTTCCTGCAGTCTGAAAACAGTCTACTTCAACAAATCCTTGTTGAAACCTCGTATCCAGAAAACTAGTTCATTTCAAACCAGCCTACTTCTGTCTCATCGTACAAAACTACCTCCTGTAGCATCCTCATGCACAAACCCTTCAACACTACAGTTTTAGCTTCTGTGTGGTTTTTATATCACCTAGTAGTTTTCTCATCTCTCACTTGATGTTGCACTTCTGTAACGACAGAACTCTCATCCTCTCCTTTACCAACTGATTTTTCTGCAGTGACATTTACTGCTCTGCAGAAATAACCAACGGCACCGCTGGTAAAACATTTTACCAAATGTCAAGCTGCACAGACGAGGTTCCTCACCAACAACTGACACGAAAGGTTGAAGGAGGTCAAAGGAGAGACGGGTTCWGTCATGTCGACAGATTCTTTCCAAACTTTCTGTGCTTCTTCAGGAAAACTTCATGGTTCAGCAGTGATTCTGTTCGCTGCCAGCTGTAAAACACAAGCTCACTCAGGCTGTATCCCTCTTATACCGTTCAGGGTCTTGGGTGGGCAACTGTTTTTGTTTTTTTCGTTTTGTTTTTCTGCGTTGTTCGTCATTCTCAGCAGCTGTTGGGCGTGAGGTCAGGTACACCCAGGACAGGTCAGCAGGATCTTCACCGAAGATAAAGAGCAATAAAAATGTGCTTTTAACGTTGATTTGGAATAAATTATATGTTTTTGGATTGGAGGAAAAAATGAAACGTGGATGGGGAAGAATATTTAAATGTCAACATCATTATGCGGGATGTGAACATTTACATTTTAGAAGCTAATTTTAATTGTCAAAGCTTCGGTGCAGCTATCAAGTGATTCACAAAAAATCTGAAGACTTTCTTTTATAAACAGGTTTTAAGCCTTTTTTTTACTTGTGCTTTTGCATGAATATAATGCTTTTGTGATGCTTTTAAAATTTTCTTGCTTTTATTGTGAAGCACTTTGTGATTTATATCTATGAAATATAAATAAACTTTACTTATTAAGAAAMGGAAACGGTTTTAAATTCCACAATGGTGGAATCCACAGAACACTTAACTTAAATGTTTTGAATAAAGCATGCTGAAACACTGTCGACTAAAATGATGGAAGTGGCCGAAATTTTTTTCGTTGTCACTACCAGAGGGTCGCACACTGGTGCACACACATACACAAATGTATTAAAGCTGCCATTTTTAATTGTTTGTGTAGAAATGTTTATTAAACCAACATRCAGTGCAGTAACTTAACATATTTCATTAGCGAGCCAGACGGGAATCAWCCGTGGGCCACATATGGCCCGCAGGCTACCAGTTGCAGAAATGCAATAGAGCCTAAATAGGATTTATGATGTTACAAATAAGATTTAAAATAAAACAGTGAAACTAAGAAGAATTAATTAAGCAGCATCTTGTGCTTTAGTCGTCAGCGCTTCAAACATGTTACTCAGCTAAAAGAAAAAGCTTAAGTTTAATTTTCAGCCTGTGGCTTGCTTTGCATCATCTGTGATTGGTGGAATTTAGACTTTGACTTTAGCAAAGCAGCAATCCTTTTTAATAAACACACATTTTCATTACATCTGGACGATCTCGCTAAAATTTATATCACAAAATAAATTCTAATTTCAGTCAACACAATGTCATTTCAATATTGATTTAATAAAAATGTCAGAAAAGAACACTAACATTTACTGTAGCTACAAAACTGATGTCATTTAAGATAACTTTAAATTTATTAGAACAAAAAGTGACATATCTCAAATTTTATTTGTGACTAATCGGAATTTAATTGTTTATATCTTGATTCGAGCTTCCGTACAACTTATTGATAAATCTGAAATCATTTATACCAGTCAGAATGTGATTAATTTTAAAGCTATTATAGGTGTTTATGTAAATATACGTAGGTATTTTGCCTAATCATGATATAATTTGAGATATCTTAATTAACTAATACAGTATGTCTAGTCATAAACCAGTTTCAAATATCTGGAATGTAAAAATGGTGAAGCTGGTTATGTGTCAAAACGGCATGCCATACCTGTCTGTGTTTGCAGCGTCGGTTTCACTTTGCTGATGTTTTTATTTATTTATTTATTTATTTATTTATTTGAAGAATGCTTCAACTTTTAGGGGTCTTCATTTTCAAACACTCAGAATGTTCTGTCGAGTGGAACTTTATCAGACGGTGGAACAGATTTGATTTGTTCCCGCTTCAAGTCGGCGCCTCTCTGGCACATTTTACAGCAACCTGAAACGTTTTCTATCACGATATCGATATTTAAATATTGTCCAGCACTAATTGTGGTGATGAACTCTGTGGGTTTGGATCTGTGGAGCCTCTGTTAACGTCAGAACTAAAAAAATTTCAATTGAAATAAAAAAAAAACACATGTAAGATAAGCTCACCCATCACAGAGAGCYGGGTCCAGTTGTTGCGTTTCTGCTCTTCTGCAGCTTCGTTCAGCAGGAGGATCACGCAGTCGTAGGAGCCCTGGTCCTCCAGCTGCAGGCGCTCCAGCCTCAAGGTGCTGATCCTCACCAGAGACACCCGCCCTGCAGAAACACAGCACAGGTAAAGAGCAGAGCACACACACACACACACACACACACACAGGTGAACACAATATCCACTTCACTGCTGCTCCTGGAGGTCGAGGGGGTTTTGCTGTAACTTTTTGACACTTTGCAGCAAAACTAACTACGTCCTGCAGCGTTTCGCTTGTGCAACAAGCAAACACAAAAGAGTAAATCCTGCACACAAGCAAACGTTAGAAATCTGATCTCCTGGTTGCCAGGTGACGGCTCCGTGGAGCCACCGTTTCTTTGTAACATCGCCTCTATCCTTCACACACTGCAGCCTGACGGCCCGTCTACATTCTACACTTTAAACACAGACAATCGCCCAAAACAGGACGGCTGTATGAGCAGAAAGCAGGCGGCCGTTTGCCTCAGCACCGCGGGGACGCTTCTGTTGTGATGCTAATTATTAACAGACGCATTGAGTTCTGGTGACCRGAGGCTGAAAGTAAAATGGATTCAGGAAGTTGGGAGTTAGGTGTGCTGCGGGAGATAACACACCCCGTTTGCTTTTCCAAGCTGCTAAAGGAGCGGGTAAACAGAGGTGGGAGTGAAAGTAGAGCAAAATACACATCGGCATACACTCAGGGGGATTAGTTCGTTTCAAAATCCCACCCTTTGACCCTCCGGTTTTACTGCCTGGGTGTGATATGGGTCACTGTGGCACTTTGAGAGGCCGTGCTGAGGCAGGAACACGCAGTAATGCAGCCGCCATTTCAAAAACGCATGAGTTAAAYTTACTGTGAGGGGAGCTGCTGAGTGAAGAACGCAAAAAAATAATTAAAGCAAATAAAAGTTGAGCCACTGTTAAACAAATAGGTTTCTGTGAAGTTATTGAGAGGGTCTTTTCTCCAAACAGAATGAGAAGATATAAAACAAACAAAAATACGTGTGAATGCTGGGTGCTAAATGACTTAGCTGAAATTAGCTGTCAAAGCTGAAACTGGGTCGTTAAAACTAAAAGTAACAAAATTAGAAAGATTGAAAGATTATGTTTCAATGTGTTTTTTTTTTTTTCAATGAGCACATTTTGACTTTAGGTTTTAAATATCTTCAGCAGTGTTAGAAGCGTTAGCAGTAGCTCACACTGATGTTAGCTGCAGGATGACTGTGGCTGCCCGATTCGTCCCGGTAGCATGAGCCGTATGCATGCGCTAAATGATAAGACTTCTGGAAAATAATTACTTCTATACATAATTATAAAGGTGTGTTACATTATATTCTGAAAACAGTTTTACTATTGTATGCATTTTGATTAATAAGATATAGATTTCCAATGTGTACATATTTATTTATTATAATTTGCAAACCATTTTCTAGACAATCATGTTATAATTCAGCTTATCTTCATTTTATTTTTTTCCTGGAATAAAAATCCACAGCTGTTGCAAACGTTGCCTTTTCCATGAAACATTGCAGTTGATGTCATCAGTTTAGCGAAATGCTACATGCTAAAAACAATGCTTCCGATACGGATCGGGCAGCCACAAGGACAATGACATCATTCCAGTTAGCAAACTCTGGCCGTTGCCAACGCTGCTGAAGAGAATATTTAAAATCTAGATTAAAAATGTGAAAATTTAAAACAATAAAGTGAATCCAATGAAGTGCAGCTCAGACACCGGCCTCAACAACAAGCGTTAGCAGCGTTAACAGCGTTAGCATCGTTAACAGCGTTAGCAGCGTTAGCAGTGTTAACAGCGTTAGCAGTGTTAGCAGCGTTAGCAGCATTAACAGCATTAGCAGAATTAGCAGCATTAACGGCGTTAACGTTAGCAGCGTTAGCAGCATTAACAGCATTAACAGCGTTAACAGCATTAGCAGCGTTAGCAGCATTAACAGCATTAACAGCGTTAACAGCATTAGCAGCGTTAGCAGCATTAACAGCGTTAACAGCATTAGCAGCGTTAGCAGCATTAACAGCGTTAACAGCATTAGCAGCGTTAGCAGCGTTAGCAGCATTAGCAGCATTAGCNATTTTTTTCCTGGAATAAAAATCCACAGCTGTTGCAAACGTTGCCTTTTCCATGAAACATTGCAGKTGATGTCATCAGTTTAGCGAAATGCTACACGCTAAAAACAATGCTTCCGATACGGTTCGGGCAGCCACAAGGACAATGGCATCATTCCAGCTAGCAAACTCTGACCGTTGCTAACGCTGCTGAAGAGAATATTTAAAATCGAGATTAAAAATGTGAAAATTTAAAACAATAAAGTGAATCCAATGAAGTGCAGCTCAGACACCGGCCTCAACAACAAGCATTAACAGCGTTAGCAGCATTAGCAGCGTCAGCGGTTGATTTTGTCGCAGGATGATGACATCATAGGAGCTAACAAAGGCAGTGTTCCATTCTGAAATACTTTAATGTAAATGTCAGCATTTGAAGGTTAACTTTTACATTTAGATTTAATATCTACAAAGATGTTTTAACATGTAAAGTTAACATTTAGTAAATATTAGCAAAAACGTAAGAACATTGAGCTAAATAATAAAATGTTCACRCTCAGAACGTGAGCTAATTAATTAAAATGTGTCTGACATTTTTAACATTTCATTTTACACTTGGCGCTGTGTACAAATGTGTTGAAACAGCTTATTTACTTAAGAGTGTCATAAATTTATTCTGTTACATGTAATTTGAGTTTTATTTTTTTGGGTTTATTTCAGAAGGGATTTCCATATGATCGTCAAAAATATAATTTAAGGCAAAACGTATAATTTTTCACACAAAAACTCATTTCTATTGAAGTCAAACAGCTAAACCTTGTTTTTTTAGCCTTTATTATTGAAGCTACAATGTTCTGCCCAGTCCACTGAATATGTTTCTGTAAGAGTAGGTTGCTGCTCGGCACAAGTAGAAAAACAATCAGGGAAAATCAGGACTTCCTTTGAGGTGTCACAACCCTAATCTAGGTCTGCCTGATTGTGTTTTAAAGTGGGGAAAAAATAAAATAAAACAAACTTCCTGTCTGTTTGTGTATTTGAAGCAGGTTTCTGGTTCGTGGAATTTCCATTTCTTCCACAGTTTAAACTTTTTTTTTTTGCGATAAAACAAATAATTCTGAACGACTTCTGTTAATGAACCAGTTTAATCCATGGATATGTTTGGACATCTCTTCAATATTCCCGCTGCAGCTCTGTTCAAAGACAGAACAGATTCTCGACTTGTTTGTTTGAGATCCGCTGACCTGAACGCTTCGACACCTTGTAAAGTTCACTGCTGTTTTTATTGCCCTGGAAATCTGTGCAATGATTTACAAAAGCTTTCTGTGTTTAATGAAAGGAGTAGTTCAAAGCTTCTGGAAAAAAAATAAACGGTTCAATAGAGAAGGTCATGAACAAAAAACATCTTACCTGCAATGGATAGCTTTTTGAACAAACATAGTTTTAAGAAAAGAAGTTTGTTCTGGAACAAACTTTTTTTTTGGCTGAATATAAGATTTTAAAACTTGGTTAGATGGACATTTTTGCAGTGATGTTTAATAATGTGWGACTGAATAATCCGTTTATTCAGTCAGTTTTTAATACAGCTGGTACAATAAATTATTAAACTAAAATAATGTGCTTCTTTTTTTAAAAAGTCGGCATGTAAAAAATATATCCCTTCATGTTATGGAAAGACCCTCTTGATTCAATAAAAAGCTTAGGTTTTTAAGAAAATGTTCGCTAATCAATTAATCATTAGTCGATCAATAAGATCAATCAACTTTAGATTAATTGATTAATCGATAACTTGAATCCCTAAAAGTCACTGCTGCCAGAGAGCAGAAGCTTTTCCAGTTTTTCTCTTGTCCAAGTTAAACAATACTCTCTTAGCTCAGTGCAGTACACACACGGGTTTGTTTTTATATCCCTGTGGGGACCATGGATTGACTTCCATTCATTTTCTGGTCATTTTATAACCTAACCCTGACCATTTACCCTAAAATTAACCTCACAGGTTTACCTGACYCTAAAACTAACCTAAACTCWRTTCACACCTTGGTGCTAAACCCAAMCCYCCTGAAATTAGCATCCGTACCAGTGAGGACCGGGCATTTGTCCCCACAAGGCTGCCTTTTTCTGGAAAATGGTTCCCACAATGTAGCAAAAACGTGCACACACATATACACACACACACACACATACACACAAAGACACACAGAGCACTGTCAGCCTACCCTGAAGGCTTCATTCCTGAACACACTCTCAGGTGACACAAACACAAAACCGTTCAGCGTCGGGAAGAAATGCGACTCGCGGAGAGGAATGAAGTTTTCTACGAAAAACTGTTTGGGTTTAAATTAAAGTTGAACATTTTATAAAATAAGTAATTGTTCTGTACAGACCGAGGCTTTCGTARCGACTACGAGCCGTCTCCTTTCAAGTGAGATGCTAATTATTTCTTCTGTGGCGACTCGAGAAGCAAACTGAAAATCATAATTCATCATTCTAAAATTAGCTTTAATTAACAGAACGTTCAGAAATGTAAGACTGATGAAGTCATGTTTTAATCTACCTCTAAACGTTTATAAAAGCACTGAAGAACAATTATGACTGTAAACAATTATTGTTTAGTTTTAATGTTTGTCATGATTTGATCTAAATCTGTGGAAAAAACTTTGGTACTTCGTTAGTAATATTTACAGAAAAACAGTAAAAATCTGACAATAAGATTTCTGTAAAATAAAAGAAAACAGCTCTTCTTAAGTGTTTATATGACTAAACTCACAGTTCAGGCACTTTGATTTCATTATTTTTGCTTTTATGTTTTAATATTTGCTGTTTAACATTTAACTAAATATGTTGACCTATAAAAAAAGTATATTTTTCAGCCTGTTACAAAGTCAGCTTCAGCTTCTTAATAAAGCTGAGCGGAGCCAGAACAGCTGACAGAAATGATGAATGAAGAAACCCTGTTTTTGAGCTTTCTCCTTCTCACTGCCAGTGAAAGATGCACCAGAGAAATCGATTTTCTCTCTTCTTAAATGGATGG